GGGGGCCTCCTGCTGCCTCCTCAGGACGTGGCACAGCTCATCCTCTGTCCCCCAGAGCCCCCAGAGCTGCTGGTCTTGGGGCAGGAGGGAGGGGGATCAGGGTACCCTCACCCCAAGGGGGGTGTTGGTGAGGCAGGTGGGGGCAGAGAGGCTGTGGAAGGGTCAAGCTGGTGGGGACCAGCTCTGCTCCCGGGGGACAAGGGACAGGAGGAGAGGGAACGGCCTCCAGCTGTGCCAGGGGAGGGGCAGGGGGGACAGCAGGAGGAATTTGTCCCTGGAAAGGGTGGTCAGGCACTGGCAGGGGCTGCCCAGGGAGGTTTGGAGTGCCCAGCCCTGGAGGTGTCCCAGGCAGGCACTCAGAGCTCTGGGCTGGGGGACAGGGTGGGCATTGGGAACAGGGTGGATTTGATGATCTGGGAGGGCTTTTCCAACCTCAGTGATCCCGGGATTCTGTGACTCGGGCTGAGACAATTCCAGCCAAGAAAACTTTGGGCATTTTAATAAACTGAGCAGACATAGGAGGGACCTGCCATAATGGGAAAATCTCTTCTCCTTCCTGGAGAAAGCACTGACCTGGCAGCAAAAAAAGTCAGTGGCTGGAAGCTGAAGTCAGAGGTGCTGAGACTGAAGCCGTGGTCAGCCCTGGGATCAGCTCCTGAGGGGGTGCTCAGGGTTTCTCTCACTCCAAATGACCCATGTGAACAGGGTGCCAGGAGCAAGCTAGCAGAGGTTTGGAGCTCAGGACAACTGCATCCCTTTGCTTGAAGTCTCAGCAGCACATACAGTATCTGCATCCTCCCCCACTTAGCCCAGGTGGGCAGAGCTGAGCGGGAGCACTGGTTCCTACATCCCTGAGGCCGGAGTGCAGGACCCTGCCAGGGGTACCTGGGGTACCTGTGAGCTGTCAGAGATTCCTGTCACCCTCCTGAACCTCCTCCTCGTTTGCTGCCAAACCTTTGTTTCATCAGAAACGCCAACTGAGTCTCATTTGTTCGTCCTTGCAAGCAACACCCTCTTGCTGCAGAAATTGCCTGTTCAGTGGCTCTTGATGTGGAAACTCACAGGAAGTCAGTTAATTAATTAGTGCATTTTCTTTAATTAGTGTTGCAGTTTGCAGCTCTGCAAGGTGCCTCTGGCTTACACAGCCCCTGGGGCCGAGGGTGGCTGCCAGGGGGCACAAAGGTGACACGCTGATGGCACAGTCACGTTCACAGAGTGAGGCACAGAGCTGGATAATCTGCACCTACCTGCTGTTCCCAGGGCAAGGCTGCACTCCCCTCTCTGGTTTCTGGATAGGGGCTATCTCATCCCTGAATTCACTTCATCTCCAGAAGCATTCCCAGCAGGACTGGCTGTCCCTGAGTGCAGCTCCAGTCTGAGCCCAGCTTGGGGACAGGCTCAGCTGGGGCTCCCACACAGGGTTTGCTGCCAGGCTGTGAAGCACAGACAGAGCTGGGGCAGCACTCTTGGTGCTGTAAAGATTACACCTTGATCCTGAGGCAGGAGCTGTGGGGCATGTGCTGTGTCCTTGGGAAAGCCAAGGAGAGGAGGGAGCTGGGGAGCATTCCTGCCAGAGAGGGATGGAGTAGGAGGGGGCACTGCTGGCCCTCCCTCTGCACTTAAGTTGCCCAGCAGATTCTTCTGGAAGCCAGAATCCCTGCTAACCCGAGCTCTTGGTCCTGCCCAGGTCATTGGGATGCACTACTTCTCCCCGGTGGACAAGATGCAGCTGCTGGAAATCATCACCACAGACAAAACCTCCCAGGACACGGCGGCCTCTGCTGTCGCCGTCGGCCTCAAACAGGGCAAAATCGTCATCGTGGTGAAGGTGAGGGGGACAGGGCACAGAACAGGAGCTGGGCCAGTGAACACAGGGGCCTGTGCACTGACAGCAGGGTGGAACGTGGCTCTGGGCACGCTGGCAGCAGCTGCTCCTGCCAGGGGGTGAAAAGGGAGGTCAGGAAGGGGCGAGTGCCCGCGTGATCCTCACGTGTCCCTGGGAGCAGCCGTGCGAGAGCCACGAGGCACAGGTGCAGGGCCTGCAGGAGGAGCTGCCAGCCCGGCCCCACACGGGGACAGGGGGACACCTGACACGTCTGGATGTGTCTGAGGGGGCTGTCAGCACCTCGGCTCCCTGGCAGTCTGCCAGGACACAGGGGGGTGAGCAGGAACCCTCCCCTGCCCGGGCTCAGCCTTGGGTGGGAGGGGCAGGAATGCAGCTACAGAGGATGTAGGTGGGATACTGGGTAAGGAATTCTTCCCCCTGGGGGTGGGGCAGGCCCCTGGCACAGGTTGCCCAGACAAGCTGTGGCTAGATCCCTGGAAGTGTCCAAGGTTTCGAGCG